CAGATCCCCTTCTGAACAAAATGAACATGTATTACTAAAGGCTCTTTACTTCTTCAAAAAAAAGGACACAATCTGTGCTTCAAAATGAGATTTTAAAATGAGTATTGCTTTGAAGTACATGCACAGGCCAAGTACCCACACAACTCAGAACTGTCATAACACAGACTTACCAACTTTGGTAAGATCCACAAACATGGGCATGGTTAGGATAAACACAGAAACCTGGAAAGGGTGAATCAAGGATAAACGCCAAATCATGGTTACACCTGGACAGGCATTCCCACACAATAAATTGCATTAACTAACTCGAAAAGTCAACATTAAACATCAAGTAATCAGTTACAGTGGAATACAGTTTCAGCAGCACATATCTCCGACACATAATACAAATTGGAGCCCAGATTGTAGTCTTCATTGTATATATAAAATTAGTAACTGTTTGAGGGGGTGAGCGGGCCTGACAAACCAACCACTTACCTACACCATGTCATCAGCAAAGCCACACCACATTGGAATTAATATTGTAACTGATATCCTTCAATTACCTCACATCTAGTCCACATTCACATCATTGTCAGCTCTTACAGCAAGCATCATATACTTTGGGCCTATCTTCATTTCTGTTTCTACAGTCTGTAGGCTTTCACCTTGACTCACAAACATAGGAGTCCCATGGACCCATAATTATTATTTTTAAGGTCCTTGCAGGCAACACGAGGTAACTGTATGATTTGATCATTTCTTTAGAGCCTCAAATGAATCATTGATCATGTGGACTGATGTGTGAGTGAGCGAGTGAGTGAGTTGGGTTTTACTCCGCTTTTAGCAATATCAGAGCAGGGACACCAGAAATGGGACTGATGTGTGAAATGATTCAAGTAACTGCTCTGAAAGAAACAACAAAACACTTAGCAAAGTCATAGATGTGTTGTGGGTACAATCAATAACAATGTGCGTCACTCTTGACCCAGTGATTTATTTATTTCTGTGTCCTTTTTCTACATTTGTGCGTACTGGACTCGCATTTGCGCATCACATGAAACCCTGGTCTGGAACACAAACCTTCATAAGCAAATTATGCTGAAACTACTGGACACCCCTGGGAAGTCCTTTAGTAAACGACTCAGTATCAATTACAAACTTTTATTTACATGGGCTGATGGTACAGTAACACACACATATCAGGTAGATTTGGCTTTTAGAAATAAGAATTTTCTAGTATTCATTAGTTTAAAAATGTACATATGCAACAAAACTAAAACACTGAAGTAGATGGGGAGACATCACCCATGCCAGGTCATATCCTGGGGATACAAACACATACATACTACAACAAACACACAACCTGGGCAACACCTTTTTATTGTTTTTCCATGGACAAACATTTATTAAAATGCTCAAAATCTATTCTCAGACCCAATTGCTCTTGCCATTGTAAATTAGAAAAGAGAAATGACAGAAACCTGTGACAATTATTGTTAACTTAAATATTGTTTTTATTAACCACAGTGTTGAACGATGCTTCTTGCAAAACCTTTGCAAAGAACGAAAAGTCCCCAATGACAGAAGGAATTACAGGTTGCTTTAAAATTAAGTACTACCATAATAAAATGCAATTCAGGCCAAGATAGTAAAGCATAATTGTTTCTTCTTGTTTATTGTTATTAATGATTTTTATAAGAATTTATCACCATTTCTAACATCAGTGGCGACACAATCTTGTTCATTTCTCAGCAACATAAGCGTAAAACAGCAGGCCAAATATGTTATTTTTACAAATGTCCATTATTTCTGCAAAGTACTCAAAACAAATTCAATACTTTTAGCACTTATTGTCATATCTCCAATTATTTCTGGTTACCAGGTAAAGCTTTGCCTGTCCAGGAGAGTCATACCACAGTTGTCTCCCTTGGTGCTGACTACTTTCACTATTCAGTTTCAGGGCAAGGCATCAGGTGAAAACCTCATAATCCAGGTTCATACATAAAGTACATATTTGACACATCTTAGTGGTTTACACAACATGCAAAAATATAGGTTTGTATATATAATAGATTCTTCTATATACAAGTTAAAATACTGCAAGGTGGCTTTGTGTAGAGGAAAACAGGACAACACATACATATACAGAAAGGAAACATGTGATTTGCATGTACAGAACATGAAGCAATCATCAGTTACCAGCAGCATAGTGAGACACCAGTAGGTCAGTCTGAGACTGATGAAAATCTGACATGAATAGTTGTTTTCTTGCAAAATGTTATTTCACATAAAACATTAGTCCCAAAATGAGTTACTGACTAGTTGTATATGACCCTGTGAAGGATTCAAGACTGATGATCAAACTCTTCTAGTTATTACAAACAAGATGAATGCTGTTTTAGTACATTTACCAGGTCCCTTCTTAAATGAGCTTGTAGGACTAAGATAATTTTAGCTTCTACTGTTAAACTTATAACAGAAGTAGAGCTACTGTTTTGTGGGAAGGGCCCTGACCAATAGTACATTTCCATGACTTTATCATTGATAGGACATTTTCCCATATCCTTGCAAATTTTGTATGGGAATCATTTAGACATTTTGTTTAGGATTCAGTTACATGTGCCAGAATTTCATCCAGTCTGAACCCTGTTGTTAGCAAGAGGGAGAAAGATGATATGGTGGTTATGAACCTGAACTGATGGAACTGACCATGGCACAAGAAGTTCAACTGAAAGGGGAGACAACTACTCAGACACAGGTCCTGGGGTGATGATATGGTGGTTATCAACCTGACAACTGGTCAAGCTGGTGTGGTGGCCACTGATCAGGCATATAACTGTAAGGGTGTGTGGATAGGGTGGTGATGTGGATGAGTGAGTGAGTGAGTGAGTGAGTGAGTGAGTGAGACGCCGCGGCACTCAGCAAAATTCCAGCTATATGACGGCAGTCTGTAAATAATCTGGACCAGACAATCCAGTGATCAACAGCATGAGCATTGATCTGCGCAACTGGGATCCGATGACATGTGTCAACCAAGTCAGAGAGCCTGACCACCCGATCCTGTTAGTCGCCTCTTACGAAAAAGCATGGGTTACTGAAGATCAATATTCTAACCCGGAGATTCACGGGTATGGATAATAGGTAGTTACTTGTCATGGTGATAATCTTCATAACAGATGAATATGAAGTCATGGTGTAGTCCTTAAAATGGTATTTGCTATTGCCTCAATATATAATATATTGCTGAACATTATTCATGTTAACAAAAGTCCTTCCAGTCTGTGGGAAAACTAAGCTAATTCACCTGGAAACACAAGCTTATTTCTTGTAACCATGGTAACAATAGACATGCATGAGGTAAAAAGGAACAGAACCAATGTCTCTGATGAAACAAATAATGAGCACTTTACCACAAGGCTACTGCAGGTATAAATTTGAGACAAATTCTCATCCATTGTGAGAGTTTCAACATACATAATAGGTCATACTCAGTTTGATCCTACACACAATCTTTGAATACAATCTACATCTAAAGTAGCATTTGAATTCAGTTCAAGGCAAGAAAAACATTAACCAAGCAATAAACAAAGATTTTCTGATACACGGCAAAATAGCAGCATTGCATAATGAGCTTAAGCCTAGAGGTTTGTCAAGGCAACACTTATTGCATCTTACAGTTAACATTTTCAAATAACTCCTGATTTTAGCTCTGTGTAATTGCATCCAGTAGATTGAGGTGAGATCAAATGGTGATGTGAGTTGACAACAGTGGACACCAGACATGGGCTCCACACCAATGTGGGGAATCACATGATATACAACACTTGGTTATAAATGTTGGTGAGCTGACAGTGAGATATGTGAATTCCTCCCTGCTGCACACACGAAACGTTTAAGTGTATCTGACAAGATCAATAATTGAAGAGTTCTGTAATACAGCCTGCAAGGCAAATTAAAAATAGATTTAAAACTATTTTCCAACTGGAAAATTGTATTCTTTTACCATGATCATAGACAGAAAAACGGAGTAATTTTGGAAGACTACAAACCCCTCTTCATATATTCTTCATCTAACCACTGTTTTCCTTCACCACATTTGAAATGACTTGGCATCATAACTCCTGATTTTATCCCTGGAACTCAATCTGTCAAACAATTGTAATATAATACTCTAATCACATGCCCAGCAGGTGTGACCACTGAGGTCATTGTGACCTGACATACTTAATAGTATGCAAGAACACTGATGACAAATCATCTAAGCCACATTCACTGAAGCTTCTAGTAAATCCAAATTAAGAGTTTATAACCAATCAGATGTCACTTTTCAAAACCTGTAAGGCCTCATTTCATTATTTAATTGTTTCAGAAATTTCAATCTTGGCAAAAGTTTCCAAGTGTCCTCTTGTCTTAAAAAATAATCCTGCCTAAGGCAATGACAAACATCCCAGACATCATACCATATGAGTGCATTTAGCATTTATTCTGCTTTGAACAGTATTCAAGTATACAGCTCATCATTGGGAGTTTAATATGGGAGGGCTGTCTGAATTATAGTGAAACCCTTGTACACATGTACAGTCTATGACACATACCACTTTAGTGAAACCCTTGGAGCCAGGTAGTCTTAGACACATACCACTTTAGTGAAACCCTTGTACACATGTACAGTCTTAGACACATACCACTTTAGTGAAACCCTTGGAGCCAGGTAGTCTTAGACACATACCACTTTAGTGAAACCCTTGGAGCCAGGTAGTCTTAGACACATACCACTCTAGTGAAACCCTTGGACACAGGTAAAGTCTTGACCAGCCTAGAAACACTCAAGTGAACCAGAGTTTCGAATCAATGATCAGATATTTCTGATGTCCCCACAGGTAATTATAGTGCCTTCATCCAATATGAAATGGTGTAGGTAAAGGTGGGTTGGTCAAAAAGGAAACAGAACTTGTTCTGAACACAGAACTATAAAGCCATGTAAAAAATATATGGGTGTGACAAAAGAAAACCCTGAGAAAACACTGTTGATTTATACAACTCTTTTCAAAAAGTTGAAATTGACAATGTAAAGTGATATTCTACATGATACATGGGCAGCACTGATCATCATCATCATCATCATCATCATCATCATCATCATCATCATCGTCATCATTATCATCATCACTATGGGGACAATACACATTGGTGACTTGTGACAAGTCTACACTGATAGTTTACAACCTATGAAAAACAAGAACACAACATCTTAAGTACAAAACAAGCCTCTTATTGGTACAGGGAACACGCATGGTATACTCATTCCACAGTTCCAGCCAGTTTCCTAGAAAACCGCCGCAATGTCATCTCAATCACAACCTTGTCATTCATGGAAGCACTTTAAGTTGACTTAACCGGTATCATATGGTACATGGGATCCTTTCATCCACAACTGGTCATCCCACAAGCTCTGAAAATCCACATAATGTTATCTGATTTGTCACAGATCTGTATTGGTTCACAATCTTGCCATCATAGCTTTACATCCTGATGAGAAAACGTAAGGGAACAAATATAAACGCACTATGTTTGATATGACACTGTGTGAAGAGCTTCACTTCACAATGACATCTCTCATACTGATTCTTCTCTTGTTGATATACAGCACTAATAATAATAAATTGACAAAGTTGCCATCTTGCATCCGCATGAAGTCTTTGATAGACATTTAGAATTACAAAGACACTCCCTTATTCTATAACTATGAAATAGTGCAGGTGAGTTGTTGCATTAGGATGTTCCTGACTTTAATGTCTTCAATATACTGAAATCAGATGAGCTTCTTTGAATGTTTCACTCTCAATGCTAAAAATTTAAAAGCTTGATGTTTATTTGAAGAAAGTTCCTATGACACTATGGAGATGACCTCAGAATAATTAACCTGATGAAGGTGCAACAAGTTGTCTTGAAACATCGTAACAAAGAATAAAGGAGTTGTTATTTATAAAAAGTGCACATCTTCTCGCGTCTGCATTATTACCAGATTTCCATACTCTTTCTCAAGGGTAACTGTAAAACAACTACACTTCGGGACACATAATTGCTCCAGTGATTAGTAAACATTATTCTAAAGCTGGTTTTAGTAGCTTTAGAGAACACTTCAAAGACAGTGAGGGATTTATCGTTAGTTCCAGATGAAGTGTCCATTTCAGGCAAATTTTAGAAAATTGTTAGTTTAGTTCAGATCTGTCCTCAATTAGGTGGTATATGAAGTAGGCCATATACTTATTAATGAAGCATACAACTTTATGAATAACAACTTGTTTCTTGCATAGCGTGACATTTCTATGTAGATTCATACACCATTATCAATCACTTTTAGCTTGATAACAGTGTAAGAATCTACACTGAAATGTTGCTCTATGCAATAAACAAGAAGTTGTTATCCATAAAGTTGTATGCTTCATTATTGATTCACGAACGTCTTGAATGCCAATCAACAATCATATACTTGTTTTCAAAATGCAAAAACAATATTCAAAATGAGAAACTGAGAAAGTAAAGATTTGTGTACTAAATCCAACGTGCTTTCCATGAACATTTTCTGACCAACCCTAAAATATCAAATACAGAAAAATAAGTTCCTATTTCTTGCTTACCTTCACTATTCAGATATACACTGTTCTCACTATTGATACAACATAGACATATTTACATCAGAACCGTCATATTACAAATCAGACATTTTAAAACTTCTACTAATGAGCATCATTTACAAAATTGTTTTTGAGCAGATTTTATTAAGATAAAATACTGAGACACAAACATGATTTCCTCTGTAAGTCTGTGACGTTAGCCACTGTTCTGAAGCCTGAGTCAGCATTCTAGTAACAAGTCCAGCTACATTTGTTTGAATACAACCTTAGAACTGCTCTGAGAAATATTTGCACCAAATCCCATGATGTACCATACAAGGTTCCTTGAAACTCTGACACAACTTTCCACAAAATTTCACCACAAAGTTGAGCGCCTGCGCTTCAACCCAATACTGGACGCATCCTTCCATTTTGAATTTGTCAGTGAACTTGACAGCAATGGCTGTTTGAAGTTGAATGTGATTTCCTCATCCACTACCTGGGAGCAGGAGACTGATGAGTCAGCATTACTGGAGTCTAAAGGCACAGCAAGGTCCTCAAATGGCACATCGTAATCCTGAGTATAGAACAAAATATAGGCCTGGGAGGCCAGCACTTCTTTCAAGGGGCATAACTCTACCTTGGAGTCGTTGCAATGAATCCAGGATTCTGAAATAGTTACAAGAAAGCTGGATTATCACATTGGAATAGATGCTGATACATTCACATTGTACATGCTTCTCCATCAAAATCATCATAAAAAAAACCCCACCCCAAGCCAAAAATTATGAACAGTCCCTAAGCTAAAGACGTACCGAGTTGTATTTTCTTAAATAAAATCTGTTATGAATCAAGATGCGAGTGAGTGAGGCTGAGCAGTATTTCATGTATTGGCAACCACAGAAGATAATGAAATGGCATCACATTGGCATCATCAAATGGCAACACAAATATCTCTGTCTCCGAAGTTGTTCAGCCAACACTGGGTATTTCCGTTCACAAACTAAAGAGGAGGGAAGATTTGGATGATAATGTACCTCATGCCTTTTAATTTCTAACTGATTGACTTTGTCAAAAATATCAACGTAAAAGAACTCTGAGGGTTGCCTCAGAGATTTGAATTTTTTATCAGCACATGGTCAAGGTCAGTCCTTGCCAGAACCTATGATAGTGTACATGATAGTGACATACCTGCTTCACTGTTATAACAATAGGATGTGTAGTGACCAGACCCAAAACCCCTGCCATGATGGATGACTACAGACGTCAGTCTGTACTGACAAATATTGGGTATGTTGGTGCAGTATGGGGTCATGTTCAGCTCTTCTTCAAAGGCTACGTGAGTGCTGATCTTTTCACGATGATTCCTACCAGACCATCTGAAAAAGGAGCAAAGGTTTTCATGTGGAAAAGCTTCATCCCACAGTCAAGCAGGCAATCTGTGGTTGATATTCTGCAGCCACATAATATCCACTGTAAAAAACAAAATAGAATATATATTTTTTTTAAATCTGAAAAAATCCAAAGAAAAAGAAACATGATCACATAAACCTCTTCCATCTAACACTTACATTCAGAGTTTAAAGAGTGAGTGTAAATATGGTTTCCTGTTGCTTTCAGCAATATTCCAGCAAGATAGGTGGTAATAGAAATAGGTTTGTCACACTGCACCACTGGAATCATATCCAGGTCTTTGGTGAGATGAGCAAATACTACCTGAGCATGGAGAAATAACAACCTCCATGTATTTCAATTTGCAGTATTGGGTATGATGGTTTAAATTTTGGCACACACCTAAATCTCTTGAGATGAAGTCGTAGCACAGGTGGGAGTTTGTTTACCACAAACCGTTTCTGGGCATCAGTGTAGATCTTTGACTTTGGCAGTCGGCGTCTACCTGTATCACAAACATTGCTGTCATTGCTTTGACATGTAAAACATCTGGATGCTCCACTTATGTGGGGTATGACAATAATTACAAAACAAACATCAAACACACTGAGGGTATACATCTCCGACCAAAAAATAACTTCACATTATCCCTTTATCAAAATTTACTTGCTGATGGCACTAAAAATCCTATTTCAGCCACATTTAATCTGACATTTTTCATACATTTTGTCTCCATAATACCCAGAAACTCATGCAAAGAAGTTAGTTTTATCCCTACATACAAAGCCATCATGAGCTGATTGACTTTACCCTGTGAGTGAGTGAGTTTAGTTTTACGCCGCACTCAGCAATATTCCAGCTATATGGCGGCGGTCTGTAAATAATCGAGTCTGGACTAGACAATCCAGTGATGAACAGCATGAGCATCGATCTGCACAATTGGGAACCGATGACATGTGTGAATCAAGTCAGCGAGCCTGAAATCCGATCCCGTTAGTCGCCTCTTACGACAAGCATAGTCGCCTATTATGGCAAGCATGAGTTGCTGAAGACCTATTCTACCCGGATCACCTTACACTGTGAGCTTAATGTGTCAGGAAAGCTAGAAGCAAGGTAGATCTTGGAAGCATACTACATTAGTGAAGACAACATGATGAAGGGATACAGCACTGAATCATCCATGCACCCCCTAAACAACTACCACCCATGACAAAAGGGGTTTCTACAGCAGAAGCCTTTGATATATGTATGCAACTTGCCCACAAGGTATTCAAGGTTGTTTGAAGGCTTTTTAGTCGGGTTATAAGCCTGAATCAATATTTAATTTAAATCAAGAATACAGTATATCACACAACATAAAAAGCAGCATCACCCTCAGAAATTATACAAGACATCATTTTATAACCAACAAATAATAAATAAAGTCTGTCATGAGGATCCTATTATTTTGTGGCTTTTAAAGCCTGTTTGATGGTTTTTCAAGGCTTTTCATGGTTGGCACTTAACAAGACTTTTCAACATGGACCTTACAATTCCAGGCATTTTCAAGTCTATGTTAGCCTTGGCTGATGATGTCACATTATTTCCTCATTATCACTCAGCACACATACTGTCAAAGATGAAATGGGGATTCACCTTGTGTTTATGGCTTTTGTGTGCATGGGAACGTGTTTGTTCATGTGTGAGAGTTAAGAGTGTGAGTGTATGAGTGAGAGTCTGTGTGTGGCTTCTTAATGTCAACACACAACAACATTAATGTCAGTAATTTTGTGCTTGCTTGAGAAACTCTTCCAGTGTAACATATATACCGTATATTACCGTCTATAAGCCGAATTTTGAGGACCAAAAAAAAGCAGTCTGTAGAAGGGGGTCGTCTTATCCATGGGTTACGCTAATAATAATGTGGACCAAAGTTATAATTATTGGTAACTGCCAGTTGTCTGTGGTCTGTGTTTGCCCGCGATAAGGACCCCATCGCGGGGGATCGACTTATGCACGAAACATACCATTTTGACACTGATTTTAAGGGTCAAGTTTGGGGGTCGTCTTATCCATGGGGTCGTCTTATAGACGGTAATATACGGTACCTGACTCACAGAGTATAGGAACTCTGAGTTCACCTGTTCTTGTTTTAACATGTTCATGTTGTGTGGATTCTGTGTATACTTACTGTTACACTTGTCACAACTGTAAGTCTGACTCTCAAGTGTTTCTGTCTCTGTGAACTTGTCCAACATTTCTGAAAACATCAAAACTATCATTACATCACTTTGACAAAAACTCCTTAGGTGCAAAAGACACAGAAAAAGATGCAAAACTAATCTATGCATCACATCAATGGGCCCTATTTAATTCATACAAATCAGCTACACTAATTTTTGACTCATCGGGTTCCATAACCCATGTAGCAAGCAAATCAGTCTCACTTACTCAAACAAATCCCATCAAACCTGACATTCACATGAAGAATGACAATTCTTATGGATATACAACTTCTTTTACTCTGTGAAGAGGGACGTTTCGAAATAGATTCTAATGTCATTGTCAAGCAAGTGATGAGAATCTATGTCGAAAATGTCGCCCATTCTAAAATGCCCATCAAACAGGCTGACATTCACATGTTAAGCCAGATGGATACTTATTTCATACACTCGTTAACTCAGAGACATATTAATTCACGAAAGAGTTTTGCATTTAAATTGCACCTAAATATTCCAAATATCATAGTATCTCATAGTGACATGAAGAAACAAGAAACATTTACTACAGCAATGAAATTCTTCTCTTGTTATTGCAAAGTAAAACTATGCACAGTTAGCATAACAATAACAACATGAAATCAGGATCTAATGTTATACTTTCAAAGAATAATTTAACATGGCTCCTTAAACCTGAACCTCATGGGGTTTCATGGTTAGGACAGGTCCAAAGCAACCTATGCTTGTCATACAAGGACACTGGTGACTTGTTGACGTCAGTTGACAGAGTGTCCATGTGCCCCAACTACGTGGATCAATGCCTATGATATCAATCAATGATTTGTCTTATCATTATACAAATATTTACAGACTGTTCCTATCATAGATGAAATACTGTTGAATGCAAGATTTTTAAAAAAAAAAAAAAAAAAAAAGAAAAAATTGTGTCCAGGGACACGGATGCCCCTGCTGACATTCATAAGACATATTAAGATAAATAATTGAACAAAATTCACAAACAAGTTCAATAAACATCTATGCAACTATGAGATGCAAACCTTTCGAGTCCCAATGAAACACATGTATAAGCTTAATCAATTCTGTTGAGCAGTTTTTGTGGAGAAGTGGATAGACTTAATCCCCTATGTCACTATCGTCAGAAATTCAACAAAATTTATCCAAGTTCAAATGTCTCTAAACATACCAAGAACTATAAAATACAAAAACAAAATATGAGATGCACACCTTTAGAGTCTCTATAAAAGACATATTTAAGCTAAATGAGTTTTGTGAAGTGGTTTTTGAGGAGAAGTGGATAAAGTACATCCCCTGTTGTATGGGACAAACAGGATGAATAGAACCAAATTCAACTAAGTTCAAACATCTGTAGAAGAAACAAAATTAAGAAATTGGATGAACATGGTATGAGATGCACACCTTTAGAGTCCCAATGAAACACACGTAGAAGCTCAATCAATTCTGTTGAGCAGCTTTTGTGGAGAAGTGGATCGACTTCATCCCCTATAACACTATATTCATAGAGAAATTCAACAATATATCTAAGTAGAGAAATTCAAAAATAAATAAATAAAACATCAAAATATGAGATGCACGGTCCCTATATAAAGCAAATCTTGGAGTAGTTTTGAGGAGAAGTGGATAACGCATACCCCCTGTTGGATGGAACTTAACAAGCTGAATAGAACAAAATTCAACTAAGTTCAAACATCTGTAAAAGTGACAAAATTAAGAAATTGTATAAAAAATTATGAAAATCACACCCTTTAGAGTCCCAATGAAAACACATGTAGGTAAGCTCAATCAATTCTGTTGAGCAGTTTTTTACTGTGGAGAAGTGGATAGACTTAATCCCCTATGTCACTATCGTCAGAAATTCAACAAAATTTATCCAAGTTCAAATGTCTCTAAACATACCAAGAACTATAAAATACAAAAACAAAATATGAGATGCACACTTTAGAGTCTCTATAAAAGACATATTTAAGCTAAATGAGTTTTCACAATGTGAAGTGGTTTTTGAGGAGAAGTGGAATAAAGACCTGCACACTCTGTTGTATGGGACAAACAGGATGAATAGAACCAAAATTCAACTAAGTTCAAACATCTGTAGAAGAAACAAAATTAAGAAATTGGATGAACATGTATATGAGATGCAGTGGAGAAGTGGATCGACTTCATCCCCTATAACACTATATTCATTGAGAAATTCAACAAAATTTATCTAAGTTCAAACGGCATTAAAATTGGAAAAATAAATAAAATAAAACATCAAAATATGAGATGCACGCCTTTAGAGTCCCTATAAAGCACATGTGTAATCTAAACGAATTCCATAGAGTAGTTTTTGAGGAGAAGTGGATAACGTACACCCCCCTGTTGGATGGAACGAACAAGCTGAATAGAACAAAATTCAACTAAGTTCAAACATCTGTAAAAGTGACAAAATTAAGAAATTGCATAAAAAATTATGAAACGCACACCTTTAGAGTCCCTATGAAAGACATGTAGAAGTTCATTCAATTCTGTTCAGAAGTTTTTGTGGAGAAGTGGATAGACTTCATCCGCTATTACACTATCATCATAGAGAAATTCAGCAAAATGTACCTAAGTTCAAGTGTCTCTAAACTTACAAAAAAACAATAAAACACAAAAACAAAATATGAGATGCACACCATTAGAGTCTTAAGAAAGCCCATGTATAAGTTCATTGAATTCCACAGAGCGTTTTTTGTGGAGAAGTGGATAGAGTACATTCCCTGTTTCGTACGGACGGACACGAAGGGTAACCCTATATACCCCAGCCATATATGGCGGGGTCATAAAAAAGAAGAAGAAAAAACCCACAAACAAACAAACAAATAGATAAGCAAGCAAGCAAACAAAAACACCCACAAACCTGTAAGCTGGCAGACATCATTAGCAACCTTCTTATTGGTTGAGGTGAACTGATACCTCTCGGGAAACTCGAGTGACAAATCCATGAATGGTTCCTGGCGAGAGGAGACATTCCTGCAGGCCATACACTTCACCTGACTAGTCAGCTCCCCTTGGAACAGTTCTGCCATCATGTTTGGCTTCTCCTCGCACTGCGGCACCGTGGAAGCCTCACTCTCCACCTTCTCTACCAACTCACTGTGAACCACGTCAAGATAAAACACATCACATGCTGCAAACTTATATCACGGTATAGGAACTGTTTGATATGTTTGTGCTTTAAATAAAGGGGTCCTGGAGGTCGTCTCCTACAGTATTTGAATCCTGAGATCCCTTATACCATGAATTTTTAACAATAAGTTATGTCATTGGCAGTGACTTTCAAGCTTAATTTGTAACAATTCATACCAATCAAATGGTTATTCCATCTCACATGATAGCTAGAAATTCATCATGATGGTAAATATTTGAGAATATTCAAAAGTGACCTCAACAAAATACATCTCCAAAGTAGTATCATGACTGTGGGAACTCGGGTGACATCTTACCATAGAAACTCCTGTGCATCATGCTGCGAGTGACCCTTGAAGGTTGGGATCTTGCTCCACACTGCCTGCAGGAAGGCATGGGGACTCACTTGGGCCCACTTCCCCGACCATAGCACCCGCAACAGACCATGCAGCTCCTGGCTGAGGGAACTGGAAACAGGGAGCAGACAGTAAGACACAGGGAACAGACAGTAAAAAACAGGGAAGAGACAGTGGGAAACAAGGAACAGACAGTGAGGCTCAAGGAACATACAGTGAGGAACAAGGAACAGACAGTGAGACACAGGGAACAGACAGTGAGGAACAAGCAACAGACAGTGAGACACAGGGAACAGACAGTGAGGAACAAGCAACAGACAGTGAGGCTCAAGGAACAGACAGTGGAAAACAGGGAACAGACAGTGAGGCACAGGGAACAGACAGTGAGGCACAGGGAACAGACATGAGGCACAAGGAACAGACAGTGGAAAACAGGGAACAGACAGTGAGGGGAACACAGGAGGCACAGACAGTGAGACACAGGGAAGAGAGTGAGGAACAAGCAACAGACAGTGAGGAACAGACAGTGGAAAACAGGGAACAGACAGTGAGGCACAGGGAACAGACAGTGAGGCACAGGGAAACAGACAGTGAGGCACAAGGAACAGACAGTGACAGACAGGGAACAGACAGTGAGGCACAGGAACAGACAGTGACAGGACACAGGAGTGAAACACAGGGAAGACAGTGAAGCACAGGAACAGACAGTGGAAAACAGGGAAGGGACAGTGAAGCACAAGGAACAGACAGTGGAAAACAGGGAACAGACAGTGAGGCACAGGGAACAGACAGTGAAAACAGGGAAAGACAGTGAGGCAGGAACAGACAGACAGGGACAACAGGGAAGAGACAGTGACACAGGAGGCACAGGACACAGAACAGACAGTGAAGCACAGGGAACAGGAACAGACAGTGAAGAGGGGAACAGACAGTGAGGCACAGGAACAGACAGTGGAAAACAGGGAAGAGACAGTGAAGCACAGGCAACAGACAGTGAGGCACAGGGAACAGACAGTGAAGCACAGGGAACAGACAGTGAGGCACAGGGAACAGACAGTGAGGCACAAGGAACAGACAGTGGAAAACAGGGAAGAGACAGTGAAGGCACAGGGAACAGACAGTGGAAAACAGGGAAGAGACAGTGAAGCACAGGGAACAGACAGTGAGGCACAGGGAACAGACAGTGAAGCACAGGGAACAGACAGTGAGGCACAGGGAACATACAGTGAGGCACAAGGAACAGACAGTGAGGCACAGGGAACAGACAGTGAAGCACAGGGAACAGACAGTGAAGCACAGGGAACATACAGTGAGGCACAGGGAACATACAGTGAGGCACAAGGAACAGACAGTGGAAAACAGGGAAGAGAGTGAGGCACAGGGAACAGGCAGTGAAGCACAGGCAACAGACAGTGAGGCACAGGGAACAGACAGTGGAAACAGGGAAGAGACAGTGAGGCACAGGGAACAGACAGTGAAGCACAGGCAACAGACAGTGAGGCACAGGGAACAGACAGTGAGACACAGGGAACATACAGTGAGGCACAAGGAACAGACAGTGGAAAACAGGGAAGAGACAGTGAGGCACAGGGAACAGACAGTGGAAAACAGGGAAGAGACAGTGAGGCACAAGGAACAGACAGTGGAAACACAGGGAACAGACAGTGAGACACAGGGAACAGACAGTGAGGCACAAGGAACAGACAGTGGAAAACAGGGAAGAGACAGTGAGGCACAGGAACAGACAGTGGAAAACAGGGAAGAGACAGTGAGACACAGGAACAGACAGTGAGGCACAGGGAACAGACAGTGAAGACACAGGCAACAGACAGTGAGACACAGGGAACAGACAGTGAGACACAGGGAACAGACAGTGAGGCACAGGGAACAGACAGTGGAAAACAGGGAACAGACAGTGAGAAACAGGGAACAGACAGTGAAGCACAGGCAACAGACAGTGAGGCACAGGGAACAGACAGTGAGACACAGGGAACAGACAGTGAGACACAGTAAACAGACAGTGAGGCACAGGCAACAGACAGTGAGGCACAGGGAACAGACAGTGAGACACAGTAAACAGACAGTGAGGCACAGGCAACAGACAGTGAGGCACAGTAAACAGACAGTGAGACACAGGAAACAGACAGTGAGACACAGTGAAACAGACAGTGAGGCACAGGGAACAGACAGTGAGGGAAGAGACAGTGAGGCACAGGGAACAGACAGTGAGGCACAGGGAACAGACAGTGAGACACAGGGAACAGACAGTGAGACACAGGGAACAGACAGTGAGACACAGTAAACAGACAGTGAGGCACAGGGAACAGACAGTGAGGCACAGGGAACAGACAGTGAGACACAGGGAAAACAGACAGTGAGACACAGTAAACAGACAGTGAGACACAGTAAACAGACAGTGAGGACACAGGGAACAGACAGTGAGGCACAGGGAACAGACAGTGAAGCACAGGCAACAGACAGTGAGGCACAGGGAACAGACAGTGAGACACAGTAAACAGACAGTGAGGCACAGTAAACAGACAGTGAGGCACAGGCAACAGACAGTGAGACACAGTAAACAGACAGTGAGACACAGTAAACAGACAGTGAGGCACAGGAAACAGACAGTGAGGCACAGGGAACATACAGTGAGGCACAGGGAGAAGACAGTGAGACACAGGAAACAGACAGTGAGACAGAGGAACAGACAGTGAGACACAGGCAACAGACAGTGAGGCACAGGGAACAGACAGTGAAGCACAGGCAACAGACAGTGAGACATGAGGCACAAGGAACAGACAGTGGAAAACAGGGAAGAGACAGTGGGATACAGGGAACAGACAGTGAAGCACAAGGAACAGACAGTGAGACACAGGGAAACAACAAGTACATATTTTAACATTTTTGTGTGTAAAGAGATTGGGCCTCAAGGTCTAACCTTCAGCAAGTAGAGGATGCTGGGACTAAACCTGCAATCCCAATGGAAATGTAACCACAAGTGGATAATCACATTGAACCAAAGAATGAAGAGTCCTCACATGTGTTCCTCATCCTCCTCCAGAGGCAGGGCACCAGCAGGCTGGACCTCCACTGACGAGACGTATGTCCCTCCTCCACTCAGACCCCCCTCTTTGTGACGAAACTTGGGGGTTGACACTGCGGTGGGGGTGTTCAGGTGCTACAAGGTCACACAAATGTACATCAGTTAGATTGACTGTCACCTCAAATATCTGTGTAAATAGAGGTGATTGAAATTGGGTTTAACGCCGTGCTTGAGAATATTTCACTCATATGACGACGTGCATGTGTGTGTATGTGTATGTGCGGCTGCTTGTACTAGCCCAGACTGAAGCTGGTTTTATAGTGCTAGCCCACTGAGATACCATGCCGCAGTGAAGCAGAAATACCCCACTCAGACACATTATACTGAGCCGACCAGTCCTTATTGTACCCATTAATGCCAACGCCAGGCAGGGACCAACAAGTACCATATTTTAACGTCTTTTGGTATGAACCCGCGACCTTCCGCTCTCCGGGCGGACGCTCTAACCACTACACCACGGAGGCGGTCAGGTGTAAATAGAAATAAAAGTTATAAAATAAGACTGCAAAACAAAACTCTGATACAGAACATGTGTCAATGAGGGTATGGGACTTTTTCATTCGCTGGTTAGTTATATGGTAAACCCTGGTTAACACTTGTATTATTATCAGGAATTTTGGTGTTGTATTTCTATGTGTACAGACAGCTGTGAAATTGTCACCTCACTAAGAATAGGGTAGTTTGCTCCACAATGACCAAAATGGCAGATTGTACTGGATAATAGACTGTTAAAACTTTGATGTAATTTGAATATCATAATCAGGATATTGTTGTGCTGAAAGCTATGAGGATGACTATTTTATTCTGAGATTAAATAGAATTTTCCCAAAAAAGATTTGGTGACTCACAAATCATACTAACATCAATGACATTTTGTTCCAACTTCAGATAAATTAGATCTACTGCCAGATGTTACTGTAGCATACACATCAAAGAACAAAATGTTGCTTCAAACTCCATGAATGTGAAAATAGTTTCTCCTGAGCAAAAATGTAAGTCTTCTCGCACATCTTCCATCCTTGAACCTAGATGGTTATTGACCAGACTCCATGTTTGGCCGATGACCTTAAACTCTGATGGTTGGTCACCGACACTGAGTCTAAATGTTACCGTGAACCCAAATGGATGATTTTGGACCTTGACCCCACGTGTTTCGCCCTGAACCCAGATGGATTGTCACGGACCTTGAACCCACATGTTTTGCCCCTCACTTGACCCCAGATGGATGGTCACGGACCTTGACCCCATGTGTTTAGCCCTGAACCCAGATGGATGGTCATCGACCTTGACCCCACATGTTTTGCCCCTCACCTTGACCCCAGGTGGATGGTCATGGACCTTGACCCCACGTGTTTAGCCCTGAAACCAGATGGATGGTCATGGGCCGTGACCCCACATGTTTTGCCCCTCACCTTGACCCCAGGTGGATGGTCATGGACCTTGACCTCACGTGTTTAGCCCTGAAACCAGATGGATGGTCATGGACCTTGACATCACATGGTTGGCCATTACCATGAACCCAGATAGTGTGTTCTTACCTTGAAACATTCCAGTGTGTCAAGCCGCTTAAGCACCCTGTTTGATGAACGGACAGGGCATGGGGACGGTATCATTCTGACAGGGGACAAGTCTCGCTGGGGGGTGACAGGGGGGCTGAAGCCATTGTGAAAGCTGAGGTGCAAGAAGAACCGGCGCAGGTCTTCTATATGTCTGTAATATCACCGAAGTGTTGCAGGTAACATAGTGAATATGAGGGCTTTGACTAGCAAATCACTTGCTTTTGTATGTTGTTTTATACCACAGTCAACAATATTATAGCAGTAAATAACAAGTGCCTGGTCAAGTCACACCACTGACAAACCTACAGCCTGTGGTATGTAGGTGGTATATACTGATTGTAGTATGGTGCTGTTGAAGGTGGTTTATACCGACTGTAGTATGAAGCTCTTGAAAGTGGATTATAAAAACTGTAGTATGAAGCTCTAGGTGGTTAATGCCGAATGTAGTATGGAGTTGTTGGTCTGTAGTGACTGCAGTATGGTGCTGTTACAGGTGGTATAGACCAACTGTAGTATGAAGCTCTAGGTGGTTAATACTGTATGTAGTATTATAGGTTGAAGGTAATTTGTAGTGACTGCAGTATGGTGCTGTTAGAGGTGGTCTATACCTACTGCAGTATGCAGCTCCAGGCGGTTTATACGGAATGTAGTATGAAGTTTTAGGTGGTTTATACTGAATGTAGTATGGAGTTGTAGGTGGTTTATACTGAATGTAGTATGGAGTTGTAGGAGGTTTATACTGAATGTAGTATGGAGTTGTAGGTCGTATACTGAATGTAGTATGGAGTTGTAGGTGGAGTTATAGGTCGTATACTGAATGTAGTATGGAGTTGTAGGAGGTTTATACTGAATGTAGTATGGAGTTATAGGTGGTTTATACTGAATGTAGTATGGAGTTGTAGGTGGTTTACACTGAATGTAGTATGGAGCTGTAGATGGTTTATACTGAATGTAGTATGGAGTTGTAGGAGGTTTATACTGAATGTAGTATGGAGTTGTAGGAGGTTTATACTGAATGTAGTATGAAATTGTAGGTGGTTTATACTGAATGTAGTATGGAGTTGTAGGAGGTTTATACTGAATGTAGTATGGTGTTGTAGGTCGTTTATACTGAATGTAGTATGAAATTGTAGGTGGTTTCTACTGAATGTAGTATGAAGTTGTAGGTGGTTTCTACTGAATGTAGTATGGAGTTGTAGGAGGTTTATACTGAATGTAGTATGGAGTTGTAGGAGGTGTGTAGTTTCATGGTGCATACTGACCCTAGAGCCTGTAGTATGGAGTTCATGTAGCAGGTGTTGCCAAGGTTTCGGAGTCCAGTGACTCCTGGGATAAGGGTCCGCTTCCTGAGGCTGGGCGAGGTGGGTGAGACAGGGGAAGCGGTGATATTGGCTGAGGGACTCGGGGAGGTGCCATCAGTTCTTGCCTTTTTGGCAGGAGTCTCTACTCCCTAGAAAGAACAGGTCATTTACGTGGATTTAGTTGGACTCTCATAAAGAGAAAGATATCATGGGATTATATTTCAATAACATCATGGCTTGGCAGCAACAGTTCATATTGCAGGAAAGAAAAAGGTGACAAAGATAGTTTATGATTCTGTTTAAACCCATACGCATGGAATTGCAGGCCCATGTACAAGTCTGGTTTGGAGGAAAAGGAGGCTCTCTATGGATTTCCCCCCTTTTAGTTGCCTCTTACGACAAGCATGGGTTGCTAAAAACCTGGATCTTCATGCATTCAGCAAAACAGGAAACATATGTGCTTTAATATGCAGAGATTAAGATTGTATGTGTATTTTTGAAAAAAATAAATAATCAGATATAGAAATTATGAGACATGTTTTTTCCCCCAATCCATTGGTGATTTAGTTAAAATATACAGTATCCAAAAACATAACACCTAAGAATTTTGATGCAATGACTGGAGGAACTGTATATGAAACTATTACTTTATAAGGAACAAGAAGACATGGTCATCACTATCTCATGCCACAGTGTTCTGTTTCTATTTGGTTCCTGTTTTTGACTCCACCACAACATTCATATCCTGAAAACACATACCACATTTGGTTTCCCTGTCTATAACAGTTACTGAAAAAAATCTGTTCCCATTGGGGATACCATGCACTAAGTCAAGAAACACATGACAAGAGCCATAACTCTCCAACAAATTGTAACACGGTTTTCGTTTTCGGTCTCCATCAAGGCATCCATGTCCTGAATACACATACCACATTTGGTTTCCCTACCTATAACGTTTTTTGAGAAAATCTGTCTCCATTATCTCGGAGCTCAAACCTATCTCCCTACCACTTCACGGCAGGGATAATAATATATTCCAATATCATGTTATTATTTTGTTTGGGCTGCTGTAACCATACACCTTCAAAATAACAACAATAAGTTCTACCCTATGGTACAGTGGAATACAATCACTAAACTTAAAGAGTTTCATTTTGAATAGTCTGACCAGTCATGGTGAAGGCTTCCTTGATGTCGCCATTGTGAAACACTATGTTGTAACCATTGTCAGACTACAACAAATATGACTTGTATTGACTCAAAGTATGGCATATATGACATATGTATCCATTCTATGTCAATTAAAGTTTGTTTCAAGGCATCAACAGGTATCAATAGTTGTTATCAGAACATAGCCGTAATTGTGATTTCATGCAATCTGACAATCACGTTACACAGTATTTCACCAAAACTAATGTAAAGATGAGAGATTAAAAATTTGAATTCAATTAATTAAATTAAAGTTAAGGTGTGATGACATGGTATTTCTGATCCTACATGCTTAGGATATTATCTTGGCACTGGGACAAAACTATCAAAACTCATGATACACACCAACTTCTGTTCAGCTGTTTTGTTTCCAACAAAAGTTATTTGAAGATGACAAATTTTACTGTAAACGCATTCTATTTTCGCTGGTGGTTCAATTTTCGCTGAATTGACAGTTTAGACTACACCCAAATCAGGTCAATTATTCAGATTGATGAATCAGTAATTGCCGAACTGCCAGCTGTCTCTTTGGTCAGCTGTCACCACTAATAGCAGTGAAAACAAACAGAGTGGCTTAACCTGTCAGGCGGCGCTTATTGCTTACTCACAGGAAATCCCTATCTGTGCGATATACTAGTACACAGTAATCCGCTTACTCCCGAAGAGATGAAAACACATCAGTCTTATGTTCAATTCTGACGATTTGACTAATTAACTTATACTGTATATGAAGCTCTTTGTGATTTCAAACAAGCCGGGTTGTTGTGAATGAGATGATTGAGTGTTAGTGACTATTCGCTTCATGATGTACTGGTGAATAAAATCTTAATGAATAAATAAAATACTGCTGTATTATTTCTTTCGAAGTCGCTTCACGGTAATCTGTTTTGTATCAAACCATCTGTCATGTGACCAATTTTTTTATGGCGGCCACAACACACATTGCTGTTTTCGCTAATTCGGCAATGGGATTTGGCTCATTATTTAATTATGTTTTGGGAAATCCATTACAGCGACAGTTAAGTATGATCAGTCGTCATTTTAAGATTCCCGTTGATTTCTGTCTTCAAACGTGATGTGTTATGGTAACAACTCAGGGGCGAGCGTAGCTAGACTGAATGAATGACAGGTTTATTCGCGGTGTATAAATTTTCGCTAAAATAAAACCTGCGCGAAATATATACGTTTACAGTATATGGCGGTGATCTGTAAAAAAATCAAGACCAGACCAGTCAATCCAGTGATTAACAGCATGACCATTGATCAATGCAATAGCGATATGATGACATGTCAACTCTTGCAACCAGCATGGGTTGCTGAAGAAAATTGAAACCCAGTATCCACAATGTGAAATCTGGTTGTTGAGTCAGTCAATGATACAGAGTACACTTCAGATCAACGCAAAACAATATCTCCATGAAAGGTCTTGTACTGACTGGCAGCTTCAAACAATAATTAGCAGTTTACCCATACAATGGAGAAAGATTAGTTTTTATACAGTGATCGGGTGAACAAGGTTCAATCATAATATCTATTTTTTTAAATAATGGATAGCTCACTTCAGGTGGCTAGGTAAATAAAGAAAAAGTGAAAATAAAATAAAAATGGTGACCAGATGAAAACATGAAGAAAACATTTCATATTCAGTGGCCTTCAGAGGGAGAGAGTTGAGTTTTAAGGTGCTATTAGCGAACTACCAGAAATATCAAGCTTGGGGATATAAGGAATGGACAATAATATGAAGATGAGCTAAACACTGTGATCAACATGTAAGTCTTACCTGTAATGACAATCTGCTGTTGCTAGTTTATCATTTTCATCTGCATGTGTTCTGCAAAATAATTACAAATATCAGCCTCATAAGATACAAAGATTCAAAAGTAAGATGCTAAAATCTCTGCTCAAAATTGCAAAGTTTGTCCTTTCATCATTATCAGTTAAAGCAGTACTGATTTACAGTTGCAGAACTGAAGGACTCTTCAATATCAGTTATATATTGCAGCGGTCTGTAAGTAATCAGGTCTGGACCAGACAATCCAGTGATCAACAGCATGAGCATGGATCTACGGAATCAGGATACGATGACATGTGTCAACCAAGTCTGCAAGCCAGGACCCATTAGTCGCCTCTTGTCTAGTACAGTTTGTGCTGATGATTTAAGTGAAAGTGTTTTCAGTCGATTTGCATTTAGTTGAAGGTATTCAGTGAAACTGTATTTAGTTCTTCTGGTGGAAGATGAAGGTGGCAATTCAAGGTAACATTCATTGCTGATTTATACCCTAATCCATGTTTTTGGTTATCAAACATGACTATTTTTCATGAACGAACATACAAGTGTGAATTTCATGCAGCTTGTGTTGAATGTAACTGATTAATTTGCCCAACATGCAGAACATATTTCTAACAGAGGATTCAAGTATGTGCAAATAAATCAGATACCTGTCACAATGAGGGGCTTAGTCTCAGTGAGTTTAGTGCCCTCTTGCTTAAAGTGATCTTATCACTATGATGATTGTCACTCCCATACTCTAACATAGACCTAACATAACTGTAGCACTAAGATGGCTTATTGCAATTGAGTGAGTTTAGTTTTACGCCGCACTCTGCAATATTCCAGCTACAGTAGAACACGGATATAACGAACTCCAAGGGACCAAGAAATTTAGTTCGCTATATCCGGTGTTCGTTATTCACATTTGACCGCCATTTTGGATTGTAGAGATGTAGAGACACGTATATGCTGAGGCTACAAATCTTTATTCTTGTACATGTATATTGACATAACATTAAAATTCTGAATTTATCATTCACAGACATTAGCTAGAACATGTTTAACAATCACAACAATCTCAACAATATGTTGATTCGCCGCCAACAAGGTTGATGTATACCGCAAAGTGGCTGAGCTGACACTGAGTGAGTTCGCTAATCACGTCGTTAAAATTGGGCTTGGGGGTAGTAAATCAGTTCGCTATAGCCGTTAATTCGCTACTCACGAGTTCATTATTCGCGTATAATTCTAATGATATCATAAAGGATTGTTGACGGGACTTTTAAATTTGTTCGCTATATCCGTTTGTACACTATATCCGTGTTCGCTATATCCGTGTTCTACTGTATATGGCGGCGGTCTGTAAATAATTGAGTCCGGACCAGACAATCCAGTGATCAACAGCATCGATCTATGCAAATGGGATAGGACGACGTGTCAACCAAGTCGGCGAGCATGACCACCCTATCCCATTAGTTACCTCAAACGACTAGCATCGATCTACGCAATTGGGATAGGACGACGTGTCAACCAAGTCAGTGAGCATGACCACCCTATCCCATTAGTTACCTCATACGACTAGCATCGATCTACAATTGGGATAGGACGACGTGTCAACCAAGTCAGCGAGCATGACCACCCTATCCCATTAGTTACCTCATACGACTAGCATTGATCTACGCAATTGGGATAGGACGACGTGTCAACCAAGTCAGTGAGCATGACCACCCTATCCCATTAGTTACCTCATACGACTAGCATCGATCTACGCAATTGGGATAGGACGTGTCAACCAAGTCAGCGAGCATGACCACCCTATCCCATTAGTTACCTCAAACGACTAGCATCGATCTACGCAATTGGGATAGGACGACTTGTCAACCAAGTCAGCGAAGAGGATGACCACCCTATCCCATTAGTTACCTCATACGACTAGCCTCGATCTACGCAATTGGGATAGGACGACGTGTCAACCAAGTCAGCGAGCATGACCACCCTATCCCATTAGTTACCTCATACGACTAGCATTGATCTACGCAATTGGGATAGGACGACGTGTCAACCAAGTCAGTGAGCATGACCACCCTATCCCATTAGCTACCTCATACGACAAGCATGGGCTACTGAAGACCAATTATAATCCGGATCTTCATGGGTCCTCGGTAATCTTCATTTATTGTGTACAGGCTTGGTATCAGAAATATAAGACCCATATTGCCCTGGTGACTATCTCAGTCTGGAGAGATTTACACAGCCTGTTATCTAAGTGGGATCACCCACTTGAAAATGGTGGGTTATCACAGTTACTCAGGATATATCATTTTTATTATCCTTCAGTGATCCAGCCAAATAAATACACTGGGTTTAGCTGAAAAACATAGCTTTCTTGGGGTCCTGGATTTATGCAATTTCAAAGAAACTACAAAGCTGTCGAAACATTAGAAGTGTAAGGATATGGTGATGGTGTAATATGATCGACATAGTATCTATCCCAATACAGTACTTATATCATATTTCATAGTTCATATTCTCTCCCTTATTGCAGGTGAATCACAAGAGTGAGTGAGTTGGGTTTTATGCCGCTTTTAGCAATATTCCAGCAATATCACGGCGGGGGACACCAGAAATGGGCTTCACACATTGTACCCATATGAGGAATCGAACCCGGGCCTTCAGTGTGATGAACGAACGCCTAAACATCTAGGCTACCCCACCGCCCCTGAATCACAAGAAACATGTGAGCTTCAGGGCACTGTGCAGATACTGCTATTTATAGCTAACCAGGAAATCTTAAAGAATCTGCATTAACTGGTACTTGAACAGTTATTATTCACAAGTTTTTACATCAATATGTCATGAAAAGAATCTTCTGTATAGCAATACATGAGTTGTAAATCAATTTATTGCATCATAAGCTTTGATTTGCAATACAATACTGTATTGCCTTATCACTACACTGCTACCAACCAGGCTACATCTGAAAGAGATTTTCGTCACTTTTGAGAACATCGCCAACTCACCTTGATTCCAATCCGGAGTAAGAATAAGACCGCAGCAGTCTCTGCCCTTGTTTTTCAATATTGTCAAATGACTGTGTTTCAATGGCACTGAGAGCTGACCGGAGCAGGGTGATGATCCTGTCTGAGTTGTCATCCATTACATACTCGTCACAGGCATAGCTGAAATGTTTGTGACAGGTAAGAAACTTTCCTAAGATTCTATTCTATGGAAAGACGTTAAATTACACCAAAGTCTTTCAGATTACAGTAGTTAATTGGTCCTGCTGACAGTAGAACAGCTTAAAGTGCATGGCAAACTTAAAATTCCTTTTTTAAAATCTTCTTCAAACAGAAGTGCATCCACAGGGACGCAGAAAATGTCCAAATACTTGTTGTAAAAATTCCAATCAAGTAACACTAAGTTATCAAAGAGTTTGCTACTAGCTGGGTTATGGTATCATTTGCAATTCATTTACTTAAACAAATAATGTGATGATCATGATACACAAGACAATAACAGTATTAATAATAATATTTAAGTGTCAGGACCCTCCATTTTGTTATCCAGGAGCCCTGGAAATGAAGAGCCTGAGTCCTGGGGACCGTCAAAAACACGACTCAAGGTAAATCACTGCAATGCCATGTTGAAATTACCTCAACTGGAAGTGCTAATGAAAACAACAACCTAATTATCACCAAAGCAAATGCTTGAAACACAAGGCAACACTGTGTCAGGCTGTTTACTGCACTGATGCTTCATGGTAGAAGTACTCACCAGTAGACATATCTGTCATTCACTTCCATAGCAATGGGGTGCTGAAATTTTGAATTTTCAGTTTCAATATTTTTAGATACTAACAATCACATTTTTAAACTTCTTGTCAAATTGCAGACTTAACAGAATTTTGTTTTAAGAAACATGTCTCTCTGACAATATATCCTGAATGATATGGTTTCAAATTATATCATGGGCTTTCACTAAGGTATGAAGGGAACATGTTGCTGTGAAGTCTTAAAAAGAAGGAGAAAGACAATATCTACACCTTAAACAAGGTACCATGACAAAACATGAAGAATCATGAGGTCTGTGTTTCATGCTCGACTCACATTTGTGTCCTTGAAATGGGTGAGGGCATGTTCCTCGTTGAAGCGTCCACAGGCCACATTGGAGCAACTCAGGCATGCCTGGAGGTGCAATGCAATCAAGTCAACAATTCACCAGTCAATTTAATTTCTTTCGTTATATTGGGCTTCACTGATCTAGGTACCTTATACACGGTCAGACCTAAGTACCCTATACACGGTCAGACCTTAATACCCAATACACAGTTACATCTAAGTACCCTATACAAGGTCAGACCTCAGTACCCTATACACGGTCAGATCTAAGTACCCTATATACGGTGAGACCTAAGTACCCTATACAAGGTCAGACCTAAGTACCCTATATCTAAGTACCCTATATACCGTCAGACCTAAGTACCCTATATACGGTCAGACCCAAGTACCCTATACATGATCAGACCTTAATATCCAATACACAGTTACATCTAAGTACCCCATACACGGTCAGACTTAAGTACGCTATACACAGTTACATCAAGTACGCTATGCATGGTCAGACCTTAAGTACTGTCGGAAATTGAAAAAACTGTATTTTCTCATTTATATCTACAATTTATGTAGTTGATATGTGCAAGTGTGAAATATCTGTTAAACTAAGTTTGGCCTAACTACAAGTCTCAGTGGTAGGGACATAAGAAACGTAGAAAAGGGACTTTGCTGAGGAGAGATTAGTGCAGAAATGAGCAATGCGGTTTTTTTTCTAAGTCCAAAGCGATTTATTTGGAACAGACCATGGCTTTATGCAAATTAGTGTGCGACAATATTGTATTACAAAGGACACTTTTTAAATGCCCAATTTGAAATTAGACGTAGCTTCATTATATACGATAGCTGGCGTAAAAAATAATAACTTTCATGCTGAAACTATCAAGGATGTTGCTAAAATGGAGTCTCACTGTCACTATAAAAAGAAACAGAAAGGAGGGTTTGTCTCAAAAGTAAAACCTGGACGGGTGTCGCAGACGATGGTTGGGGTCGGGCTTGGGGATAGAGATATCAGCTAAGATAAGATAATCCTTTAGGGCAATTATAATGGGGAAGTACACGGCATGTCATAACAATTTACAAATAATATCCAGTCCTATCGATCTTTGCGATCGTGTGGTCATGCCACCTAATACATTCAATACAATGCGTTTCTATGGTTATCAGGTATCATACTCTTTTACATATCTCAACATAAACTTCATGAAAGAAAGACACGCAAGATGTTAATCAATAGATGAGGCACATGAAAAAGCACAAAATATCTTTGAGATGACCCCGTGTGCTTGTAGGCAGCACGTACATTTCATGCCAAGTGAGTCGACGGTCCGTTGTCATACCTGGCTGAGCGACCAAATTGCCATCTATAGTCTGATCTATCGTTTTCAGCAGCTATTCGTATATTTTCTAAGTTTTGCCCGATTTTACGAGTAAACATGCTTTTCTGGATATTCTATTACGATCCACTGAATGCCGCGAATGTGGGCGGCCAGCCAGACTCACAAACATAACCCATTTAGCACGAACCGCGTCCCAGTGAGATCTGTGCATGGGGGGACAATTCATCGCCTTCAAATTATAGAGTACCGACGACAGCAACGGTTCGGCATGTCGCCGTTTGATGCAGGAAATCATCAAACATGTACGCGTTACACATTTCTATACAACTAACTGAAACGCACTGAATGCCAAGTTAGGCCGAAGTGCTGAATGCCAAGTTAGGCTGAATAAATGCCAAGTTAGGTCGGCGGTTATTTCGACATTTGCTATTTGCAGTTGTGTAAATTTTAGGGATACAGAGTAACAGCCTCAAAACAGTTTTTATTCTATTTCCGACAGTACTTTAGTACCCCATACACAGTTAAATCTAAGTACCCTCTACACAGTCACACCTAAGTACACTAGTGTTGGGAATCTGAAACGAAATCCACTATTGATTATCGGAGGACTTGTGGTGAACGATTATCAATTATAATTGAAATACATACATTTTAATGTAATCACAAATTTTAAGGGTTTTCCCCCAGGTTTTTCTAATTAATGTCTTTTATAACTAATACTGTCATGCAATGAAATGCATGCATACAAGAAAGACACTGAAATTGTAATTAAGCAATAAAAGTGGTTACAATTTTACAATGCGCATAGATTTACGCTGTTGAGTGCATGTTCGATCAATTTAATGGTTAGTTTACTTCATTCAAGTGTTATACTAAAACAACAAAATTCTGATTAATCGAAAACATGTTTTTTACAATCGATAAATATATTAAATGCTTCTTTCGATTGATTTTCGATCATCGGAACACCACTACTATACACAGTTACATAGTTAGTAGTAAGTTACATCTAAGTACCATATACACAGTCAGACCTAAGTACCCTCTTATCAGACCCAGGCACCCTATAACATTCAGTAAGACAGGTACCCTCTATACAGTCATTACAGACCCAGGCACCCTATAACATTCAGCAAGACAGGTACCCTCTATACAGTCATTACAGACCCAGGCACCCTATAACATTCAGTAAGACAGGTACCCTCTATACAGTCATTACAGACCCAGGCACCCTATAACATTCAGCAAGACAGGTACCCTCTATACAGTCATTACACACCCAGGCACCCTATAACATTCAGTAAGACAGGTACCTTCTATACAGTCATTACAGACCCAGGCACCCTATAACATTCAGTAAGACAGGTACCTTCTATACAGTCATTACACACCCAGGCACCCTATAACATTCAGTAAGACAGGTACCTTCTATACAGTCATTACAGACCCAGGCACCCTATAACATTCAGCAAGACAGGTACCCTCTATACAGTCATTACACACCCAGGCACCCTATAACATTCAGTAAGACAGGTACCCTCTATACAGTCATTACAGACCCAGGCACCCTATAACATTCAGCAAGACAGGTACCCTCTATACAGTCATTACACACCCAGGCACCCTATAACATTCAGTAAGACAGGTACCCTCTATACAGTCATTACAGACCCAGGCACCCTATAACATTCAGTAAGACAGGTACCCTCTATACAGTCATTACAGACCCAGGCACCCTATAACATTCAGTAAGACAGGTACCTTCTCTATACAGTCATTACACACCCAGGCACCCTATAACATTCAGGACAGGTACCCTATAACATTCAGTAAGTAAGACAGGTACCCTCTATACAGTCATTACAGACCCAGGCACCCTATAACATTCAGTAAGACAGGTACAGGTACCATTACTCTATACAGTCATTACAGACCCAGGCACCCTATAACATTCAGTAAGACAGGTACCCTCTATACAGTCATTACAGACCCAGGCACCCTATAACATTCAGTAAGACAGGTACCCTCTATACAGTCATTACAGACCCAGGCACCCTATAACATTCAGTAAGACAGGTACCCTCTATACAGTCATTACAGACCCAGGCACCCTATAACATTCAGCAAGACAGGTACCCTCTATACAGTCATTACAGACCCAGGCACCCTATAACATTCAGTAAGACAGGTACCCTCTATACAGTCATTACACACCCAGGCACCCTATAACATTCAGCAAGACAGGTACCCTCTATACAGTCATTACAGACCCAGGCACCCTATAACATTCAGTAAGACAGGTACCCTCTATACAGTCATTACAGACCCAGGCACCCTATAACATTCAGCAAGACAGGTACCCTCTATACAGTCATTACAGACCCAGGCACCCTATAACATTCAGCAAGACAGGTACCCTCTATACAGTCATTACAGACCCAGGCACCCTATAACATTCAGCAAGACAGGTACCTTCTATACAGTCATTACAGACCCAGGCACCCTATAACATTCAGCAAGACAGGTACCCTCTATACAGTCATTACAGACCCAGGCACCCTATAACATTCAGCAAGACAGGTACCTTCTATACAGTCATTACAGACCCAGGCACCCTATAACATTCAGTAAGACAGGTACCCTCTATACAGTCATTACACACCCAGGCACCCTATAACATTCAGTAAGACAGGTACCCTCTATACAGTCATTACAGACCCAGGCACCCTATAACATTCAGTAAGACAGGTACCCTCTATACAGTCATTACAGACCCAGGCACCCTATAACATTCAGCAAGACAGGTACCCTCTATACAGTCATTACACACCCAGGCACCCTATAACATTCAGTAAGACAGGTACCCTCTATACAGTCATTACAGACCCAGGCACCCTATAACATTCAGTAAGACAGGTACCTTCTATACAGTCATTACACACCCAGGCACCCTATAACATTCAGCAAGACAGGTACCTTCTATACAGTCATTACAGACCCAGGCACCCTATAACATTCAGTAAGACAGGTACCCTCTATACAGTCATTACAGACCCATGCACCCTATAACATTCAGGAAGACATACCGTAGATAAGCTGATCCCCTAACTTGACCCTTAAAATCAGTGTCAAAATGGTATGTTTTGTACATAAGCCGACCCAAACACCACCCCAATGGGGTCCCAATCACCCTATAACATTCAGCAAGACAAAGGTAGCCTCTATACAGCGATTACAGATCCAGCTACCTTTTAAACAGCTCAAAGCACCCCACAATGCAATGTAAGACTAAAGTCTATTCTGTATACACTTACCCAGACTGACTCTGTGGTTCCACACATGGCACAAAGCCACTTCTCTGGGTTGAGAATGGAGTGGTTTAGTGCCAAGCGAACAGAATTCAGGTGTTTGCAAACATCCATGCTACCCGAGTTTTACTCAGCAGTTGGTACATGCCTACAACAAAGGCAGAAACATTCATATTAATTACATGTGCAGTTCTTAACAGCATGTTTGTGAACATAGCAGTCAGCAAAATAACACCTCTCAAAGGCAGTGGCCAACAAGCAGTTAAAAAATATGCAGAAACTAAGATCATCAATTAGTGAGCGAGTGGTTGTGAGAGTGCATAAGTGAGTGAGCCACTTTTCAGCAATATGCGTGAGTGAGTGATTTTAGTTTTACGTGAGACTCAGCAATATTCCAGCTATATGGCGGTGGTCTGTAATTAATCAAGTCTAGACCAGACAATCCAGTGATCAACAGCATGAGCATCGATCTGTGCTATTGGGAACCGATGACACCAGTCAACCAAGCCAGCGAGCCTGACCACCCGATCCCATTTGTCGCCTCTTACGACAAGCATGGGTTACTTAAGATTCATTCTAACCTGGACCTTCACAGGTCTTCAGGAATATGAAAGCGAATAACATCAGAAATGGGTTTCAAACATTGTACCCATGTCCAATGTTTCCTTCAGCATGACATACTAAAATTGGGCATGTTCAGCTCTTGTAGGAAGATGTACACACTTATGCTCACCAACTTGAAAGATCATAAAATTCTTTTTTTATCAGCTTTCAATCGTAATCTATTGCCTGTGAAGATCTGAGTTAGCATTGGTCTTCAGCAACCAATGCTTTTTGTAAAGGGTGACTAGCGGGATTGGGTGGTCAGATTTGCTGACTTGGTTGACACATGTCATTGTTTCCAAGTTGAGTAGATTGATGCTCATGCTGTTGATCACTGGACTGTCTGATCCAGATTTGACAATTTACAGATCAACGATATATAGCCTATAATGTTGCTAACAAAATGTAATATTTTATATAATCTGTAGGGAGAGGGGGGAGAAAAAGAGAGACGCGCCTGGTCCCCTTGACTGATAGGAAGATAAACACAACTAACCGACCACTGATCATACTGATAAAAGAGATTATTTCACACACAAGACAGATAATTGAGGACATAATCTACAATCACAGCATGAAATAGACCACGTTTTATGTGGGATAAACAGGATATTTTTAACACAGTGTCACAGTAAGACAAACTGGAGACAAGAATATTAATCCAAAGTTGAAAATACATGTACTATGAAGTCTTTTTCCAAATTTGAAGGTATTTTTCCAAATTTGAAGGTATTTTATATTGTATGCATTTTATAACAATCATGTCAATGTGCAACTAAAAGTTTTTCTGTCTGTTGGTATGGTTCTGTCTTTTGGTAAGAAATAGAAGTCACTTCATGACACTAAAAAAGTGGGATTCCTGCGTATTGGATGCAGAAATTTGATGATGTACCCCAAAACTAAAATCCTGTGCGTCCTTGTGGACACAATATACTTTTTTTCTGAGAAAGAACTTTCTGAGTTTGTAATGATATCCCATATTAAAATATAAACATTCTATTTACAATCATTATTCTAATGACATTGAAAGTAACACATATTATAACATAATCATTATCAAATGGGAAGCATCCATGATCAATGATTGCATGCAAATTGATGGACTCCCAATTTTGGAAATGGACTCTCAGAATACATATGCCCTGAGTCCCCAGGGCTCCCATTTTTGAAGAGCTATGTAAAACCCTGTAAAACACATTCCAATTTTGAAATATTATAATTTGCTGTAGATCTGGGGTCAAACATGCCCTGAAAAATCCCTGCACATGTGGGTAAACACGACGGCAGGAAGGAATAAACTATGAACTTGGCAAAACTGTCACATGTAACGCTATCTCACTTAGATAAACAACATCCAAGTAAAAACACACTCTTTCAAATTTTCGTAAATATTCAATTCAAGTGACCACAATTAATCAACTGAAATCTTGAAGGAATACGGTTCGATTCATCAAACATGTGAGTGAATCTATCAGGACAAGAAAATACCATGTCTGTACTGGCAAGTCTGCATGTTACTTGTCCATGCAGTCCCTCAAAACTGGTCATGACAGTCACATTATTTCTCATACGTCTATATATATACACTATATATATCGCTTCATAACTGCCAGGATTTGAGAACTTAACGACCCACTGGTCAATATAAGCATGAACATTCATACTTATGAGGGAGGGTAATATATCCCATATTATTTCACAAACATGAACATCTACCTATCTCATCAAATGTACAAAACACACCATGTAAACACTATTTAAGGTCCAACAAAGATGGCTTGCTCATCAACACATGACAAACAGTCAAAGTTAAGACATTAATGAGGAATCATATCGTTTTAGTTATTTATGGCTAATTTTAGAACTAGGCCAAAGTGATACAAAGTTTTTTATATGTGGGTATATCACCAGACTATGAAAAACTTCGCTTCCTGCATTAGCTGCAGGTGCATAATCCATTCCAAGAGGCAGGAACGTTTCTTAAAAAAACTATGTATTAATCGAACTCTCATTGTTTGATTTTCCATCATCGACATTTGATGGAAAGCCACGCAATGTTTTTGTCTTTGTTTTAAAATCTTACACTTTCGTCATGTGTTCCGATTCTTTTATGCTGAACGATTCAGCTAAAATATTTTCAACAAAGCCAAATTAATTTCCACTTCATTGAAAATTACGCCTGCACGCAAACATACATGTGACTGATTGTTTGTCGAATTCATCAATACAAAGGCAGAAGTCAGTGCGGTGAATGTGACATGACAGCTTGTCAACTTCTCGTGCTCGTCTTCTAACTCAAGAAAACACGAGCGACATGTCAACGATTTGACGTCTGCCTCGTGCACATCACGTGACACAATCACAGGCCATAATTCAACTCTCTATGTAATTCATAATCATACAAATACATAAATGAACATTGCAGCTCTGCTGCTGTCTATGGTCTACAATACTAACACAAGTTGCCTCCCTGGAGCCATCTTCGGGAGTAGGGCGGCCATATTCAAAACAGCTAGCTATCCCATAATGCGGTCCTCTCGGCAAGGTCCATTATTCAAATAGGGGTGCCGATTCTGATAGAGCTGTCACCGCCGATTCTACACCTCGCAACACGACGATAACGGCAAGGTGGGAACCAGGACGTGTAAAACTAATTAAAATTGCATCAAGTCATTGGTATCAACCTGATCTAAAAGTCATGTCTATTTTGACATTTCTACCCTAATTAATACAATTGGAATGGTCCAAGAAAGCACGAAAGATGGCGGACGATGTGCAAGAGTCTACGGAACCGGTGGAAATACCAACTGAGAAACCAGAAGATGTGTTTTTGAATGGCGATTCAAACAACAAATTGGAAGAATGTGAGGATCAAAATACCGAGTGTGACTCTGAATTACCGGAGAGCGTGTTGCCGAGGAGAAGCAGCCTCATGAACAAGGATGCGGGCAACAGGCGTCCTCAGCGAAAGAAAACAGTATCATTCAGTAGTATGCCTACGGAACGGAAAATTGCAACTGGTAAGATATATGCATGCAATATCTTAATTTCAGAAATGTCTGGCATCCATGTGCAACCTGCATCATACCTCCCCTCAGTTTCGAGGCGCGTCATTAATGTTACAATCGAGTCGAAGCTGACGATCAAATTAGCAACGAGTCAGTCACGCTGAGAGGAATGTAACTCATGCTGTGCACTTTAACATAACATGAAATTGACAAGCTATCTAACTGTGTATTCCCTCCAATATGAAATGTTTAGATGGGCGATATTTACAACACTAAAACTGTGTCAGCATGAAATCGACATGTTAACCACTATGTTATATGCTGACACATTGGTAAACAAACGTGTATGTAAATAACAGAGCGGTGTGTATCACTTCCCTGAGGGAAATGACCAGTGGAAAGAGGGCCGGTCGCCAAATCGTTGATGTATATTCCAACCTTGTATGATCATTGTCGTATATACCCACACAGCTATTACTGATGGGCTTGAGACATTGTGGAAGCAAATATGTTTGCATATACAACTAATTTGATGGTGTTTGTTTAGCAATCTATAGCTGGCAATTAATCAATGTTTGCATTGTAGATAGCTACTTTGAAGCATATGTGCTTCTTAATATTTAATTGGGCTGTTAGTTGTCAGTTTTAATGACCTCACTGACTTTATAGTACAAAAATATACCAGCATCCTTCCATTATATCCTGTCCCATGCAAGTAGTGTGTACTTCAAGCTTGAGTACACATTAGCTGGATTAAGTAGCTGAAACTGTCACAGGATATAGTTGACACAAAATAGTACTGGTTAAGTTTTCTTTTAAGTTGGTTTCATAATTTGGTCATAAATAATATTACTTATTGGTTATCCTACTTATATGATTATATAGAAAACAGTTCAATTTTGTTGGCACTTACTGGAACCAATCTAGTTAATCCATTGATTACACTGTGATATATGTGCAGTTTGTCATGAAAATATTTGAGTCTACTGACACAAACTTTACAGTAGAATGTACCATTGTCTTAACATACAGAGTGGATTATTCTTAAAGCCAAGCCTTTCAACTGAAAAGAATTTTAATGTGATTTTTCCTATGGTCAGTAGCGTAAGCTGCCGACTGAAAGGAAACTAAATCACATTTCAGAGTTCTCATGTTGAACAGAGAGTGGTAAACTTCATCAGAATTGTTGTACTTTAGTATGGGAAGATTGCTTTTAGTGGATTTAGTCAGAGCTAGATTTCTCCAACTCTGGCTTTCATGACCTGGAAGTTCTGAATTAGCTCTATCATATAAAATGATGTTATTCATAGTTTTTGACGTCACATACATTGAAAGCAGAATTAGTAGGTTTGTTTTGTGAAAGATGAACCATCTTGCATTGCCCCAGTCTTGCTTCTTTAAATTACGTGCATATCAGTGTTTTAACTCTGTAGGTGGAAATATGATAAAGATGACATTTCAGTACTCATGCATCTGATAATGTACACACAGATCTTTATCATGTTACTGTTCAAGATATAATTCAAGCAGTTTTATCTGAAGGGCATATCTGAAAAATTCCAAACATGCTAACCAATTTTTTAACTTGTTTTACAGGAATGTAAACTAGGTAATCCATGAGAAGCATGATATTCTACCTCAGGTTTTTAGGGAAAAGAATAATTATTTTCTGGTTGATGAGTAATTTTCAACAGTATCCAACAGTTGTTAACATTGACCACTAAGAACAGCAGTATCATGTATTGCTCTGGGTGCTATAGGTGTTGTATGTTATAATGATATTCCTGCAGTAAATTGGGGTGGTATGGTAACCAAGTAGTTAAAGCGTTCACCCGTCCTGTCGAAGAGCCGGGTTCGCTTTCCCCACATGGGTACAATGTGTAAAGCCCATTCATGGTGTCACCCACCGTGATATTGCTGCAATATTGCTAAAAGCAGTGTAAGACTGAACTCACTCCTGCAGTAAATTACAAATGTTTTATGTTGTTTAATGTACAGTATCAGGTTATTTGTCCTGTTTATGGGTGAGGATAAACATATTATCTAGTAACATAAACAAAAACAAATTCAAGGTTCATGAGATCTATAGATCTTTGGCCATGCCTAGATCAGTGTACAATCACACACCTCAAAATTGACTAAGGACTAAATTACGAATATTGCAATTTGTTCCACCTCAAGTCTCAGGAAGAGAGTGTGACTTTTATGAGGATGAATATTTCTTCACAAGGCTGAAAGGAGCAAGCAGGTGGTGTTAATAAGACAGTAATGTTTTAATAGGTGCATGTATATAAAAAAAATCCAGATGCCTTTTGACTCATGTGAACATCATGTATTTTTAGGGACATAAACAGTGTATTCACTAACATTACCCATCAACAGATCAATTTATTTAAGAGACATAGAAATGACTTCATGTTTTTTCTCATCAGCAAGAAGCTGTGAAGTAAGTCTTTTTTATTCCAGGGAGTTAAGCTGGTTAAAACATACGACCAAACTGAAACTGAAATGTTTTTCAACCCGTGTTTTTTCTGTAGTTGTAAAATAATAATGATGTGAACATGATGTTTCTATTCATTTAGGCCTCAACCTGATTTATCGTGTAGCAGAACAATGAAGGCCTCTGATTGGTATTTGCTAGTTTGTACTATAAGTCATAACAACCTATGCTGGTTGTATGATGAGTAAATGGATCAGATTTTCAAGCTTGGTGATTTTGTTAATTGCCTGTTATTTTGCAATTGTTGTATTGATAGACGCTCATGATGTCAACAGCTGTCTGGTCCCGACATCATTATTTACATACATGGAATAGTGTGGAGTGTTGCATTCTACAGCAAAAAACAAGAACAACAGCGACACCAAATGCAACAGCCACAACTTATCTGACATTCGGGGCGGTGGGGTAGCCTAGTGGTTAAAGCGTTGGCTCGTCACGCCGAAGACCCGGGTTCAAATCCCCACATGGGTACAATGTATGAAGCCCATTTCTGGTGTCCCCCGCTGTGATGTTGCTGGAATATTGCTAAAAGCGGCGTAAAATCAAACTCAGTCAGTCAGTATCTGACATTCAGGGATAGAAATTAGCACCAGTCAGCTTGCTTCGACAAGTTTTGTCTATGTTAAATGTGTCCTAAGGACTTGTAGAATTTCAAACATTTTGTTGGTTGGTTGGTTGGTTGGTTGGTTGGTTGGTTGGTTGTTTAATGCCAGCAGCAATATGTTAGCTATATGGTGGTGGTCTGTAAATAATCGAGTCTGGACCAGACAATCCAGTGACCAACTGCAGATCTATGCATTTGGGATATGGTGTCATGTGTCAACCATGTCAGCGAGTCTGACCCCCTAATCCTGTTAGTTGCCTCTTACGACAAGTATAGGTTGCTGAAGACCAATTCTTACCCTGATCTTCACGGGTTTCAAACATTTTGTAGATTAATAATTTCAGGGATATTGTTATAAATTTGTTATCACTATTTGAGCTAGTAAACCTTGGTAAATTATATCCTCATATAAATACAAATATTAATTATGATAGTAGCTATGCAATCTTGTATATCCATGATGATTTTCTGTGAAGTATGAATGTGGGACTGAGCTGATTCACAGCTGCCATGATAGAGTTGTTGTTTTTCTGGCTAGCATTGAACTTCATTATGAATACGACTCGCTCCGAATTCAGAACATCAGTCCAGTAGCTTACATCAGCAGATGTAATGTATATGGACCCAGGGTTTTACACAGACTTTTAAAAATGGGAGTCTTGGTGACACACTATTTATTTTTGGGAGTCATTTTCAATATTTGGGAGTCATGAAAAGTTTAATATTTTCTCAGTATGTAAATGTATGTCACACCACCAAATGAAACTACAGCATTGTTCAGTTGAAACAGCCAGGATTGCTGTCTCCTCCGAGTTTTCTGGAACAATCTGACAATATCATTTTTTGCTTATCCAATCGATTTTATTGAACTGAGTTGTGAGGGTCACCCATAAAACTTGCGTCAAGCTTGACTTGTATGATAATATTTTGAGAGTCGTTTACATAATTGTTGCGTCGAATACGCAGGAATAACGCGTCATGTAAAACCCTGGGACCCCTATTGGATGAAATCTGTATTTAGGAGCCTGATCATCTATGGGGCATGACAATAGAGGACTGATTAAAGGAGGTTGTTGCAATGGAGCTATTGACATAAGGCAGGGCCATTGTTACAAGGACTTGTTAGGTTTACATGTTTAAATGTATGATTAAATATTCTTTTTAGAAATGACAAGAATTGTTAATTAAAAGAATTTAAAAATGAAAATGAAAAGAAACACTGATGTTAATCAGTATTCATAGCTGTGTACATGTGAGATTAATCGGCTTGCTTTTACAGTGTGGAAATACAATGTATAGTTTGTATATCATGTTTACCTCAGAGTTCATCATACAGATTATTGGGTCTATGTAATTGTGTTGGACTACACAAAAATATTTGACAGGAAGATATGAGGAGTGTGTTGGGGTTCTTCAGAGAAGTAGATGGTGTATCATGTTTATGGGGTGAAATATAACTGGTCTAAAATTAGCATGAAAGCCAAGGAGGCCTTGTCCTAAGCCTGTTGTTTAATGTGAAAAATGGTTCCATTTTAAATTGACGGCAGTGTGCATTATGGCCTTCCGATTTCGAACACCGGAACTATTTGAGGTGGCGCCAATAATAAACATTGTGGATGTTAGTTCAAAACTAATTTATCTCTTGGTATATATTTAAACTTTTAGCGAGTGCATTTAAGTGTGCGTGTTGGGTGGGAGGGATAACAAACAAGACAGAAGTTCTTTTCCATAATAATTTCACAGCAGATGTTTATCAAGGTAAATAAATTGAATTTTTATCATTTTACCTAAAGGTTAGTATTTTTACAAATATGTTCTTATGTTTTATTTCTTCAGAATAGGATGGATGGAAACAGCTCAGTGTTTCAGTAACCCATGCTTGTCGTAAGAGGCAACTAACAGGATCAG